TATCTGGGAGCCAGTTTAAATATCAGTTCCATCTCTCTTCCTTCCATCTGGATTAAGACAATAATAATAATTTATTCCCATTAACTATAAGTTACATAAGGCATGGTAATATGAAGGCAAAATCAAATTGTTGTATTGTTTATTTCCTTAGACCCATTGGCTCATTTCTTCGGCGCGTCATAACAAAAATTCCACTGCAGAAGCAAGAAAACTTTTTGGTTTATAAACAGATGTTGAACTAAAACTGAATTGTTCAGCCCAAAGGTGAATACTGCTTTGAAATGAAAGACTGTTGGCTGGTTTTTCGACGAGTTATCTTTTTTGTTTGTTTTAACACGTCATTATGTCCATCCATCATGTAACCTTTTCAGGTGCATATATTAAAAGTTTACAACATACCGCTTTGCTGAGTACAAAAATATACAATTACAGACATTGTGTTAGCTGACAATGTGCTTTGAAAAGAATGAACTTCGATAACATGTCGATTCTTGCAGATCGTTAATTTGCAACATGAACTATTTTCAATTTCTGCTAAGTTTAAACATGTATTGTAATGGTGAGGTTATCACATTTCAAGAATCTCCGTATCAAACACTTCGGCTTTACTCAAGACAGTGGAAAACCAATTGATACTTACACTTCAACCTTCACTAAACGAACACATTGATCCGTATCAGTTTGTTTACAAATGCAAAAGAAGCACCTTGGATGCTGCTGTTGTTCTTAAGCAATATATAGTACTCTGCTTGGGAAAGGATAAGAAGAATTTTTGGTGCACATCTCAATACTATACTTCTGCCTTGTTTCAGGACCACGACTACTTGTTGGCGTCAACACTAACATCTGGATAATCAACTTCCATAGTCGTCACTGCTATCATTGGTGGGTACATAACATTGGATAACATATTTATTCTTATTCCCTCTCTTGTTTTCAAGGATGCTTTGATGAATCTGGATCCGCAAAGTTACCACCCAATAAGTGCATTACGTGCTTCTTCGGACAGCATCAGAGCAACTCCCTGAGTGTGTGAAGCATTTTCCTTTTCGTGACCGGAGTACATTAGCATCTCTCCCATATCTAGCTTTTGCTGTCCAGCTTGGGTCCAATGGGTTTCGATCCTGAGAACCGCTAAGTTGTATCTCCTTACTTTCGTCTCCATTTGACTGGAACTCTCGATCTCCTACATTGTCTGTACGTTCCATGTACTTATAAAAGTTGTTGCTCTGGTTTTTAGAAGGGACATTGGCCTGACTGTGAATCTGGGAGACACTTGATCGAATCTGTCAGAAAGCACCAGTTCCCTCAAGATCACAGGTACACCTTGCTGACGAGTGCCAAGCAGCACGAAACCCAGGTCCAGGGTTTCCTGTTGATTACCTCCAACAGCCATCTAATCCAGAGTCAACAGTTAAGGACAATGGAATACAGTTGACGTCTGCTATCTTCTCAGAGTTTTGTCAGTAGGGTGGAATTAATCATGTCCGGACACCTTCATACCACGCTCGATAAATGACCCAGTACATTTTGTTGATACTGTAGATCACCAACGTAGATGATCCATGTCGAATGATTGGAGGTGAACGTGAGTTAAACGAAAATGGTGTGACGAACCAGCTAACTTCGAAGTCACACTTTGCGGTCATTATCTAACTTGGATTACACCTCTGACGTATAAAAGTGATATAATGGGGAGAAAAACCAATATTCGGTTGATTTACTCAATATGAGTTTTATTCATCATTACATCCTTTTTGATGCAATGTGATGATTACGCAATGTAGTAATTGTTTTCTTTTCTCGTATGATATTTTAGACTGTATAATACACAATATTCTTGTATTTCATTGACTATGAACTATACTCAGCATATGATTTGTTATAACTGAGTATTTTTCATGTATGTGATTTCATTCTAATTATTAATCAAAACAGGTGTGCAATCGATATATGAACCAGTATATTTTCTACTAGGCTCATTTTTCTGGTTGTGGCAGAATATACTTCTCATTTCAAGCGTGGACTTCCTCTAGCCGGGGCTGGGACGCGTCATAGCTAGCTTACTGGCCCTTGGTCACCGAATCTCGTACTCGTTCGCAGCCTTTAGTGAACTAGTGATAGCTTTCACACGTAACACAATGCACTATAGCTGCTTTGAAGACCGTATAACACAAAGGACTTCATTAAGGAAATATATTGGCAGATAAATATGAACACACTTCGATACCACTGCTCCAACGTCAGCTCTTGATGCTCAACAAAGCATATCATCAGAGAACCAGCTCGATAAAGATTACGAGGCTCAAAAACAATTGCTCACTTGGGGTTTAAGCGTGCTTTCTATTGATCATCGTGCTAAATGTTCTGCATGAATGGTTATTCAAATCGTCATCAATTTCATAGATGGTACACAATATTCATACTGAAAGTCCTCTGAATCTGTTTGGAGGATTTCAGTTCCCTAAGGAGGAAGTAATATACTTCATATCCATGGTTGTGGTACATTGTATTAGTTTAATGTCTTTCTTAAACATGCCAGTCGAAATATTACGAACTCATGAGTTTCCGAGCCGTGTTACAGCGTCTTAACAAGTCGGATGGTTGACGTACTTGAGATGGTGGAGAAGATTTGTAGCTCAGATGGATGATTTTGATGGAGTTTTGTTCTCTGAGCTGGATGGTTTGGTCGTGGAGCTTTCTATCTGTAGTTTGTGCTAATGATGTCGTTTAAAAGAACGATGAAAGCTCCACGACCAAACCATCCAGCTTAGAGGACAAAACTCCATCAAAAAGGTTGACTAACTTATCAAGAATTTGATGGCGACATTATCGTTACAACCTAATCTACTTGTTCTACAGGCTGGAAACCCTATCAGTTGGATTTCACTTTCATGTCAGCCATGTTCTCGGGATTGTGAAGACATCTGTTATATTACATGGTAAACTGTTGGCTGTGGATGAGTTTAGAGCATCAAATCAAGAATACTAGAGCTACGTAGTCATCCAAATACTGTGCATAGTTGAGAGCAGATCAAGAGCAAATAATTTGTTGTCTTAATCTAACTAATATAAACGGACATTAAAATACTTCTCAGCTAATCACTCCTGACACCGTAGCACGACAGTGACGAATATTCACTACTAAATCATGGTCTGCCAACAAGAAGAATTTCAACGTGACCAAGAGAGAACCGATCTCTCATCCGTCAGCTTGAATGACAACATCAGTGTGTCGTGAGCCAGTTGTGTCACTAGGTTATGCTCACGCGTTTACCAGGTTAGAAGCATTGATGCAACGAAAAATTGGCCCTATTTGATTTTTACCCACTCAAGCACAATTTAGCTCCAGGACCTAGGGATATGGTACGCAGTCAGGCTCGAAGCCGTTTATTTCAATTTCTGAAGACCGTCACTTAATGCTGTCAAAAAGACTAATACTGAAGCAGAAATATATTTCCAACCCATTAGGCTTGTGAACGTCTCCTAATTATAAATCATAACTCGTAACAGACATATGAATAATCAAACATCATTACAAACAACAGAACTCAGAAAGAAAGCTTGTACTATTCCATTCACAACATTTAAGGGAACATAAAAATTTCCTACTGTCTGGCGAATTACTTGCCACTCCTACTATAGAACATAAAGATGTCACAGATATTCAGGGTTTGACGACCATTTTGTCGTCAACACCTATATAACCAAAGGATACCAGCCTAGTCAAACCAGAAGTCAAGAATGAACGAGTTTGAAGATATTGTGCACGTCAGTCGTTCACGCCGTGCTCGCAGAAGTCGGCTCCTACGTAGCAAAACCAGGCCTCGATGCTGTCTGGCCAGATGGGCATTAGTTGGAACGAAGGTAGGGACACAGTCTTCAATTTAAATATTTTAGGTGTCTGTTCAGTCATAGTGATATATCAAGTGAGAAAATGAACGAGTGGGAAATATGTATATATCCAAAAACACGGGGCAAATAGTATCACAATGTATAAAAAATTAAAATAAAGCAATGATGTATAAAATCCCAAAAAGGAACAGACTCACAGTTTTCAATTTGGTGTACCAGATCACGTCGGGCTAACCAATGAAGATGCCACAGGTATTCGGAGTTTGACAACACTTTAACCAGTAACACCTAGTATGAAGCGTACCCACCAAGTGAAATCAAAAGACAGGAGCGAGGAAGTTCGAAGATATATTTGATAGGCTATCAATATATCGAGGATCGTCTGATCTAATCTGGCTAGTAATTGCAGTAGATGTTGGGCACGGCGTTCCCACACGTGATCTAGTGCGGATGCATGACCGAGTGCCTTCAGCTAGATGAGTCGATTAAAACTAATGTGGTCAGCATCCAATGTCAAAAACTTGCAGAGCTATTTATTTTGGGGGTTTATTTACCGCTACAATATATTTGGATGATTATCGATATGTCGAGAAGCGTTTGATCTAAGCTGGCTAATAGTTGCAAAGGATGTGTAGCACTGCGTACCCACTCGTGATCTGGTGTGAAATTTATGGTCAGACGCCTTCAGCCAGGGTGCGTTCAGTAAAACTAATGAAATCAGCATCGACCTTGAAAACCTAAAGAGCTATTTATTTTGGAATTTATTTGCCACTACAAATGCTATGTAACCATATATTAATTAGCATTTCGTATCTTAAATAATGAGCTGAGCGTTAACATGTCTCATCTGTTTGTTTTCTTTGAAACGAATCTCCTATGACACCATAAGAAGGTTCATAAACTTCTATTAAATAAGTTGGGAGTGGGATTCTTTTTTCCTCATCGGGTGTTCAACGATTCATATGCCCTACATGAATGACTGATATTAACCCTAACATTGTTTTCAAAGATAAAATTCGGTTATGTTGTGAAAAAACTGTAAGAACTAACGCAAGTTACTTAAAATACTATCTTTTTTGCCGAAGATTAAATGTTGAGATATTGAATTTCCTAATACGATCGCCATTCAAAAAGTGAGTTACCATGTGTATTTGACGGTAAACTTCATACTCGACTATTTCAGTTATTTCACGCCTTAGGTAATGTAAAGTCGGCGTATTTCGCATTGATTCATATGAACCTAAATAACTTCCAAGTTGAAAGAGATCTGGGAATATAGGTACCCCATGATATAAAGTTTTACTCTAACTGCTGCAAAAATGCCTTTCGGGCAAACCTTGCACTGGTGATGTCGGAGTACATTTTTAGCCAGTTTTACGATAAAACTTTCCACTTCATCTCCAACAGTTTTATTGGACTCTATTTAGAGTGTGGAAATATAGTGTTTCCTCCCTCATTGTAAAAGGATAAGGATGCACTGGGACGTATCCGACGGAGCCATGAAATCAGTCCGGGGACTCAAATCCAAGCCTTATGAAGAGCGTATCGAGTCACTAAGCCGTTACTCATTAGATTATAGGCGTCTCAGAGGTGACCTAATAACGTACAACATCCTAAGTTCTTTGGACATCCCTTTAAATACCTACTTAAGCTCAGTCCCAACACAAATTTAAGGATAATACCTAGATAATGGAAGCACAACATAGCAGAACAGACTACAGGTATACCTTCTACTCCTTAAGAGTAGTCAAGTCCTGTAATTCTCTACTTGTCGAGCTGGTCCTTGAGACTTCCCTAGAGACCTGCTTCGGTTTGGGCACTTGGGCAGTACCCCAGCCGTCCCTTACTTACGAAATGAAATTTCGTAAATTTAAACCATTTCAATCAAAATGCTTGGTACTTCTAATTTTGAATTCCAACCCTTCATTACATTCAAATACCTTAGTCAACATGTACAGGTTTAAATACCTCTACTTCAAAGCCATGGTGCTGTTTGACCATCCTGTTTTTTCACGTACATGGTTCCAATCAAACAAAAAGAAAGAAATAAATTTCAAAATACGTCCCCACTTTTTGCCTATATTGAGCAAAAAGAAGGCATTTCTCTAAAGTATTACACGTCGTTGGGAACGGTAGACTTTTCACCTCAATGCACACCAAGTTTATTTATTTATTTGGACTCATAAATATTGGTTCGAGGGGGCATCAGATGCATATGCGCCTTTTCTATTTTTGTTTGCTTTGGGTCTATCAAAACCATTATATGACCTGTCGCAAATACGTGTCAACCCCAATTATCGATTTAGCGCAAGATGAATACCTAGACTGGTCCAAATAATAGCAGAATCAACGATGAGAATCTTTTCCATCAGTCTTTATTTGCTCGTAATTTTTCTCCCTCTTTTTTTCTGTTGGCATTGTTACTTCCGTTCTTTTGATATCTCGTAATAGTAATGCTTCGGTTTGGGCACCCGGGCAGTATCACAGCCCTCACACAAATCAATTGAGATTTGTGTGGCGCATATGTATTTGGTGCCTCCCTGTACCTATACTTATGTGTTAAAATAAATAAATAGTAAATCAAAATGATTTGGAATTGTATGCATTTATATCGAACTATACTGTTTGTTTTGTGTTAGGTCACAGTGTTTATTTTTCGCATCTGATTTGTAGTTTACCCTTCGAATAACTAATCTACGTATTCATAATTTCGGACCTAATGATTCAAGAACCGACATCTGTTTGTGTTGTTTTTAGTGGAAAAAGAAAATCCGGCAAAGATTATACTGTCAATCGTCTGACTAATCTGCTCCGATGTAATCATCTTTCTTGTTTAGTAGTACGAATAAGTGAGCCAATTAAATCGTATTTTGCTGAACATTATGGATTAGATTTGTCTGAATTATTATCCTCGAATGAATATAAAGAAAAATATCGAAAACAAATGATTGATTGGATGGAACAGGAAATAAAGCAAGATCCTTATACATTCACTCGGAAATCGTTGCTTGAAAGTATTAGACGATATGGCATACCTCATCCTGATATTATTATTATCTCAGATGCCAGAAGGATAAATGATGTAGAGTATTTCATCAGGACATTTGGTCGATCTAAGTGTTTGTTAATACGTATTGTCACACCTATAGAAATTAGAATCGAACGGGGTTGGTCATATGTTGATGGGGTTGATAATGTTATGTCTGAGTGTGGATTAGATGAATTCACTTGTTGGGATTACATTTTATCCAATGATGGAGACGAAAGTGCATTTAAAAACCATTTAGACGATATTGTTGCACGCATTAAAGAAGTGCGAAAATTATCCTAATGTTTATCATGCAGTCATTGATAATAATGCTTGATGCAAGTGTAGTCGTTTACGTTGTATGAACACTTCTTTCAACATGCGTTTACTGCAACAATGTTGAGACGTACTTTTGAGCAGTGTCGCAATTGAACGAGTTTACTTCTCGGATGATCATTATTCTGGCTACAAATTTCCAGATTGTTTGGGAAATAAATCTTGTTTGGTTATTGGAAATAAAATACTGATCTACTTCAGAAACTCGCAGTCGACTCTTGTCTAGATTTATCTATTTATGAGATTGTTCCTACATAACTCATGGGATCTGACTTTAAAACCCTCACGATCAAATACATATTCAGTGTACATCAGATAATCAATGTCTTCATTTTTAGTGAAAGCAAATTTTTTTCCTGAGTATGTCACTCATCATTTTCATAATACATTTTTATAGACATATTCTTTTTGTATTGTTGAGACTATAATATTTGCCGTAGATTCAATTTTGTTATTACTTATTCTAAAAGAATGTTAATTTCAAACGAATTCACCATAAATAATGGCTAGTTAACCGTACATAACGCATCCTAACCACCTCAGTTGATGAAAGTTTACAACCTCGCTAAATTTGTCCTAACTTGTATTTAGCCAACTACTACATTTATATTTTATGGAGTTATACAATGTGGTAGTAACCTAATACTTAGTTTTAGATTCCGCAACGCAGACTTTATGCTTGAGTCTCTCCTAATTTATTAATAGACTTTTCTCAATTGGTGGTGTTGTTTAGGTAATGGTGTAGCCGTTTTTGTATTGTTTATTTGAATCTTCCTATTGGTGTTTGGGATTGCAATTAGTCAGTTTCTTATTGGCATATGTTTGGGGCGAACGGTACTGTGTTCGAGTCCCGATGTGAACATCAACTCTAGGATGCAGGTACATCCGGCTGACGAGTCTCAAACAGGTCGAAATGCACGTCCTGGATTCCACTGCTAGCCACCGTCCATCTTTGCTTACAATAGTGTAACCACTTGTTACGCTTAGACTATGTACTATCCAGTACACTTCATTAATATATCTTAAGGTAGAATTCTCATATTTTTCTTAATCATACGTTTAAAATCTCTTCATGGTACTTGCACTACCTAGTGGGACCATTTAAAAAGATGAGAAAATAAAGTATTCATTTGGGTTGTCACATTATTTAATAATTCAACGCAGATTAAATGGCGAAGTTATTTTGAATTAACTGCAACTCATTTGTTGAGCACAGGTTGTGTATGCAGCTTTGATCAGGGCTTTCTATTTAAGAGCTAATGATACTATTCTGTTACCCAGATTGAAGTAATTGGAGTGAATTTTGAAACCTAGGTAGTGCTGATCGTAAAAAAAACTGTATAGAACAAAAGACTCACACATCAAGGAAGAAGTTTCTAAGGAACAGCCATCTGTACTGATCGATGCATTTAATTATCTGGTTTAAGGAATTCAGCACTTCGAAATCTAAATTGTTAAAGAATTCCATTTTCGTTAGTTTGCATTTTTGTCTTGTTATAAAGGAGTTTATGGTTTGTTAACATTTGATGCATAGATAAGCAGCAAACAACTGATCAAAAGTAGTGTCGCATTAGCTTTTCTAAATGTGAGAAAATCGTTTTCACCCATCAGTATCACAAGTGAGGGCGGCTACAATCGATACATTCACCGTAGCTGACAATGACGCCAGTCATGACGATAAGCACAGTTCCTGAAGTGCAAGCACATTTTCATCATATTCTCTTTGTTGCTGTAGTTATGTCCAATATTCTGTTTAGACTATAGTAGTTCAATTTTTTATCTAATAAGTAGTATAATGACGGTGGATCAATAATAGTATGAAGACCAATATACATATACTACTAAGTTACTTTTACTTCCAATTAAGCTAGTAACACCTAATGCGATACGAAATAAAAAATATCTGTTCAGCAAGGATTTTTTTCAGTAAATTTGTTCCTAAAGCTGAAACATGCTTTATTCACGATAATAATCGGTGACATATTAATTACAACAATTTACTCTCCATATTGACAGTGTAGCAAGTGTTTATTGTTAAAATATACATATTCGTTAAGAGCTTGAATATTCATTAAGAATGTCATTAAAGTTAATGATTAGTAATCGTAAAAATGGGTTATGTAATAAAAGAAAAATACTGAAATGGGGTATAACGAGGAGGTATGTGGAAACAGAAATAATTCGTAGTCCAAATCGTGAACCGATCTTAGATCATCATTGTAAATTAAAAAGCACTGGACAGCTGCTTCGTCATAGTATGAGACAGCAGTGTATACTCACGACTTCACAACCCAAAAGTCATGGTTTCCGTACCTTGCGGTGTAGTCGTGGGCATACATTGCTTGGTTTCATACTAGAATGAAACAACTACCCGGTGCTTTTTGATCTGCTGTGGTGGTCTAATTAAGATCGATTTATTATTTGAACTACGGAAGCTCCATAATCTTCACTTTTTAATTGAAATATTCTACCCCCCAAATGCCCTGGTACGGCCGAGAGTGGGGAGAGTCCGCTCTTCCTCTCGAAATGCTCTCATATGGCCACGCGTATATAGCCCCTGCCAGGGAAGTCCTACTTACTGCCATCTCGTGGCGGAGGTGTTGTTTACGAAAATGAGAGGACGAAAAGCGAATGTCCGGCGCTTTAACCGGATCCCAAACCAACGGTGCACATGGGCCTTAGTATCCTGCGGGAACAGATGGCGTATGAACCAATCGTTAGTCACTGGCTACCATGGGACTGCATCTCCTTACGATGCTCCACTGCCTTGTGGATCAGACCTTCAGGTCAAAGGCTCGGGGTGTGGCCCCCTAAGAAAACCATCTGCTTCGGTCTGGGCACCCGGGCAGTATCACAGCTCTCACACAAATCAATTGAGATTTGTGTGGCGCATATGTATTTGTTGCCTCCTTGTACCGATATCTATGTGTTAAAATAAATAAATAAACTTCCTGTTAAAAGTTTAATAAAGTAGTGGAACAGTGGGGGCTGAGATCATTGTAACAGAAGTCTGGATAGGTTTATTTTGTCTGCATAGTTTCTGGATTCATGACAAAAACTTCAGCAATCCATAGAAGACAGATTCTCTGTTTCTATACGCTTTATCGGTAACTTTTAACAGTGAGTGTGTCTTTATCGGATTACTCGTGTTCACAAGGTATTTTCAATTATCAAACTTCCTATAGTTAGGTTCCTACTTCAAATATCTAGTATGTCTTCAAATTTTTCAGGGTCATTAAATATTACATACTGAACTAATTGCCCAAAAAATTCTGGGATACTTCATGTGTGTTCACTTTTGATACAAAAACCATTTGCATGTCGTTGAAAATCTATACAAATGTTGAACCCAATAAAGTACATAATCAATAAATTCTTGAAAGGCTTGTACGCGAAAATTGTAGTTTCATAATTTAAAGGTGAATAACTCGTTTGCATTAGATCCAGCTGTGTTATGTGGTTTTGAAGAAATGTAATTCCGTAAACTAGTTAACTATACACTTGACAGCATTTACTCCACAGCTATGAAACCACTTAAATTATTGTTCAGTGAGTTAGACTTCCTTATCAGTGGCTGTATACGCGTGGCCATATGAGAACATTGGGAGAGGGGAAGCTAACTCTTGGTATTTAGCATGTTTCAGTGGAGTTTTATCAAGTTAGGCACATGAATATTTTGGTTAGTAAAACGCACTGACAAAACTGTTCACTTTATTTAATAAAACTCAATAAGACATATCTACTCAAACTGAGGAAGTATCAGCCTATTCAAATACTTTGGCACAATATTCCTCCCGATTTGTTTTAATCAAGTATTTATGTATGTCAACTGAATAATTTAACTCATGTGCCCACGTGGAATAACCTATATCGATGCTAAATACTGAGATGGGAAACATATACTATCGTATTACAGTATGTTTTCTGGCTAATCCAAACTCGATATAATTTGGATTTATGTAAATTAAGAAAAATACAACATATGTAATTAGATTTAAAATGTTTTAAGGGGGTAAACTAACCAAAAGCCTTTTAGAGTTATAAATATAAAGTGGTTAAACACTGTTTTAAAGATATCATTTAATATGCATGTATATTTGAAACTTTTCTACTAAAATTTAAATTAGGAGGAAGGATTTATAGTAGTCCATATTTTACTGATGAAAATTCCCGAATGTACAGTAGTGAATATTGTTAAAATAACGAATTGTGGAGGTTGTAGTAGTTTTAATAGTTGAATTCATGAGTCGATGTAAGCTAGACCACCATTGAAAACCTGAAAGTACTGGATGGCCATTGCGTTCTAGTATGGGACTCCTCAACAGTACGTATCCACGATCCCGAATGTGGGACTCCAACCCATGGTCTTTTGCTTCATGCGGACGCTTAACTTGTAAACCACTGAGCCGGCATCAATCAGTGTTAATGTCTAACTCCATTCGATTCATAGTCTTGTAGTGACACAGCTCAAATCGATTCACGAATTCAACTATTAAAAGTGATTATTACCAGATACGATTGAAATTTGTAAATCAAGTTTCTAAGTGAAATACAGCCCTTCACCGTTACATAGGACAGCTAAGGTTTGACAGGAACTTGGTTCATTGTCTAATTCAAACTGACAGCCTCAGAATAGCCAAGCGAAGTTATTTTGCCAATATATTTCAGTATCCATCTATTCAATCAGCATGAGATTTATTTCCACAGATGTATAGTGGAAATTTTCCTCAGTTTCATTTATTCATAAGGACTAAATTTATGGTAAAAGAGAAAGGTTTGAATAAATCCTAATATAAATAAATTCCTCATTAAGTTAACTAGTAAATTACTTATCATGATTTAAGCGTACACGCAATAGAAACGTATTTATTAATGTGTGTAAGTTTTGTTTCACGTTTTGCTTGTTTCATTCATAAATGTACCATACCTAAGATAACATGAAAAAACTAACATAATTATCATTATTATGACAAATTTAAATAGAAAAGCATAATAATGGTATTCAGAAAGAACGAAAGAGACTCCATACATTTCATTAGAGTATTACATTTAATCAACAACATTCCTAATCACCATATATATATATTTTTTCTTTTTAACAATTCATTATTAAGATTTATTGCCTATTTAAAAAAAAAGAAAAGTTTCAATGATAAAATGAAATTGAAAAGAATATTAAGATTTATGTTTAGATAACTGTTAGAAAATAATTAAAATATTTTCGTATTGCTAAACAAAGAATTATTTCACTTACACGTATATATTATGTTGATCATAAATAATTATTATCAGAAGGGAATTTTGTAGAGATTTTAGTAATTTTTATAGTTGAATTTATGAGTCAATCGAAACTATACCACCATGGAAAACCTGGAAGTACTTAATGGTCTTTTCGTCCTACTGTGGGACTCCTCAGCAGTGCATAATCCAAGATCCCGCTTCCCACGAGATTCGAACTCAGGACCTATCAGTTTCACGCGCGAACACTTAACCTCTAGACCGTTGAGCCGGCATTTAACGATGTTAATGTCTAACTTCAACCAATCCACGACATTAAGCCATTGTCTTCAGTGAGTTACTATCTCACAACAGACCTGATTGAACTTCACTGATCACTGCCTCTCACTAGAACGCCAGTCACTAGTGAGCATATAATGATTATTATTAGAAGGGGGTTTTGTGGAGACTGACAGGTCCTGGGTTTGAATCTCGTGGGGCGGGATCGTGGATGCGCACTGCCGAGG